AAACCCAGCTGGGATTCATTGCCAGTCCAGGCTGGCCCAAGAGTCCAGCAAGAAGCCAGGCTTCTTCAGGGCAACATCTGCCACTGGGACCTGGCTGCAGCCCAGCTAGGGACACATGACCTGGAAAGGCTGCCTCTAGCCTAAGATCATGGGCAGAGCAGGCTGGCAGTACCCACAGGGTGCAAGAGTAAGCTGGGCAGTACCCACAGGGTGCAGAGCAGGCTGGCAGTACCCACAGGGTGGAATTCGACCCTGTGCCTGTCCTCCTGAGAATCAGCTCACTGACCTGGATCAGAATAAACTAGCATGGATTCTGCATTTTCAGAGCATCTCAGCAGTCCTGCCCCACCACCCCAGGGAGGCTGGTGAAGAAGCTGAGTCTCAGAAGTCTACATTCATTATTGGGACTCATTTACACTCACCATTTATAGTTGGGCTTTAGATAGCTAAGTATAGGTGCTATGAATTCCACTCTTAGAGAGGGAATCAGTTTGAGGTAACCTCACACTCCCAGATCTACATGACCAGGAAAATACTGGGCTGTATGGGCACCATTCCCAGACTAACTCTCTCTTAGTCAGTGTTCTATTGCTGTGAAGGGACACCGAGACTGCTGCAACTCTTAAAACATTCAATTGGGGCTGGCCTACAGTTTCAGAGGTCTAGTCCATTATCTTCATGGTGGAGAACATGGCAGCATGCAGGCAAACATAGTCCTGGAGAAGAAGCTGAGAGTTCTACATTCAGATTCACTGGCAGCAGGAAGAGAGCCGCTGGGCCTGGCTTAGGCTTTTGAAAACCTCAAAGCCCACCCCATTGATGTTTCCTCCAACAAGGCCACACCTCCTAATCCTTTTCAAGTAGTGTCACTCCTTGATGACTAAGCATTCAAATATAAGAGCCTATGGGGCCATTTTTAGTCAAACCACCACAGTCACCTGCCCATCCCCTCTCTGTTTACAGAGGTTCCTGATGAAAGCTGCTTTTGAAGGATGCGTTACAACTGGGCTGAGCTGAGAGTTGGGGGTAGGGTCAGTTCCCTCAGGAGCAGCTTATCCCAACAGCACCCTCCACATCTGTCTAGGCATCATGGGTGCAGAGAGGTGTGTCTGAGATGCCAAATCCAGCCTAGTGTCCCAAGAGTTGGGGAGGAGCAAACTTAGGGGAGGAAAGATCATGTGATTTGGGGAGGACACACTACCCCGGTCAAAGGAACAGGGTGAGGAGCAGTGAGGACACTTAGGGAAGGGACTAGCACCCAAAGGTGAAATTTCGAGAGGCCTGGACTTCACTCTGGAGCTAGGAGCAAAGACAGTGCTTAGGCAAGGCAATGACCATTTGATACTCCACGGACTCACCAAGAACCTTCAGATGGGACAGTAATTAATTCAAGAGACCCAACCAAGTGACTCTTGTGCACCCCGATGCCTCCAGTCGTAGAGTGCTCCAAATTCTCTGGCCCTTACACCTGTGTGTAAAATACAAAGTTTTTATCTCAGCCCACAGACACGCATTCAGCTTCCCGGAATTGCATTCCCTCTTCCTGAGGCTATTTCCTACTTAGTCTCACGGGTATTCTTGAAAATCTCAACAACATGCCAACCCTAGAGCCTTGCACTGTTACTCCCTTAGTTTGAAATGTTTTGGTCTATTTTTAGATGTTGTTTATATGTATACTGTGTTTACAGAGTTGTTATATACAGGTTGGTTCTCATTGTGTAGCCCTGGCTAGGCTGGAACGCTCTGTGTAGACCAGGCTGGCCTCAAACTCACAGAGTTCTTCTGCTTCTGCTTCCTGAATGCTGGAATCAAAAAGTGTGTCACCACCACACCCAGCCTCTTTTTAATTTTTTTAAATCTCATTTCACTTATTTTGTGTTTGGGGTAATCCGTGGCACACACGTGGATGTCAGAGGACGTTGGCAGGAATGGGTTCTCTCTTTTCACCATGTGAGCCCTGAGCGCTAACGCAGATAGTCAGGCGTGGTGGGAGGCGCTGTGACTGACGGGAGACTTCCGTCTCACCGAGGCAGTTTTGTCTTTTCTCAGTTCCCTACCTTCAGGTCTCCAGCCACGCACTCCATTCTTAGGGGAGCCTTTCCCAGCACTCTGTCCCAGTAGCCGTCTGTCCTGGGCTCCCTTTTTCTGGCTTCCTCTCTACTGGTAAAACATCATCCCACCTGCCACGTATACACAGTTATCCCTGAAAAGTTTCTGTACCCCGACAGCCTTTCCTCCGACGCAGCAATCCAAATCAGACCAAACCAAATCGAATTAGAAAAAGCCCAGGTTTAATGGATACAACGTTCCCAGATGTTTTCCCAGCCTCCCAGAGGAAATGGAAAATAGAGACCAGAAATCCATGTGTTTGTTTTCTGGTGGGCAGTTTAAGTACCCTATGGGAGTGTCTTGAGCTTCTCTGGGGGAGAGGTCATCATTTGGTGGGCTTTTGGAAATGAGGCAGGGTTTGGGGAGGAAGGGATGGGGAGGGAAATTGAGGTAGAACTTTCACCAGACTATTCCAGACTCTGGGTATATGAATGCCAGGGGCTGGGGTGGAACTTCCACCAGAAAAATCCCTACAATCCCTTATTTCTTTCTCCTCCTCCTCCTCTTTTTCCTCTTCCTTTCTCTTCTTCCTCCCTCCTCCTCCTCCTCTCCTCCTTCTCCTTCTTTTTGTTTTGTTTTTCAAGACGAGGTTTCTCTGTGGAGTTTTGAGGCCTGTCCTGGATCCGCCTGCCTCTGCCTCCCAAGTCCTGAGACTGAAGGCATGCGCCACCACCGCCCAGCTAGTTACCCCTTGTTCTGACCATCATCCTTCCTTCTGCTAGAAGGCTGGCTCCGTGCAGCAGCGGGGACTCTGCTGTGCTCTCTGTACTGCAGGAGATGGCTCTCGAAGCCCGCTGTGGAGAATCACCTAAGCACCATCCTCTCCATAGCTACAGAACAGCACTGCTGCCTGCTTTAGAGGAATACGCTGTGGCGTGGACAAGGTCACATCGGGCACAGTTACTCAGCCACAAGTAGCTTTTAGATCTCAGGCCATGGACTGGAGAGGAGGCTCCATGGTAAAAAAAAGCTTGCCATGCAAGTTTGGGGACCTGAGTTCAGATTCTGAGAATCCAACATGGTTCCACACAGCTCTGTTTGGAGCAGAGCCAAGAGGATCACTGGAGCGCAGGGTTTCTATTGCTGTGATAAAGCACTATGAACAAAAAGGCAACTTGGAGGGGAAAGAGCTCGTACCTCGTAGTCCACATCCAGGGAAGTCAGGGCAGGAACTCAACACAGGAACCTGTGGTAAGTATTTTGAAAATCTCCAGTTGTGGGTTTCTCAATCAATGCAATAAGCCAAATTAATAAGACCAGGATTTTTTTTAATTTTTTTTTATTTCATGTGCATTTGCGTTTTGCCTGTATGTATGTCTGTGTACGGGTGACAGTCCCACCGAACATGGAGTCATGAGATAGTTATGAACTGCCATGTGGGCGCTGGGAATTGAACCCAGAGTCCTCTGGAAGAGCAAACAGTGTTCTTAACCACTGAGTCTTCTCTCCAGCCCCCAAGATCAGGTTCTAATAAACAGAGCAAAGCAACTGGGTGACTCTTGGAATAGCAGGAGAGAAAACATGTGGCAGATCTGGGTCTTAAACACCCTGTAGCCATGATCCTGAGCATCTCAGGGGGAGGAGTCACCCCTTGGTGTGCTTTCTGAGGGGCGGGGCTTAGGGAGGAGTGGGTACTGAGGCAGAGTTTCCATCTAAACATCCTGGATCAAGGAATTGATGCAGAAGCCATGAAGGGGTGCTGCTTACTGGCTTGATCTTCACGACTTGCTCAGACTGCTTGGTTATACTCCCCTGGGACCATCTACTCTGGGGCAGCAACTCCCACATAGATCACTAATCAGTAAAATGTACCCCAGGACTGCCCCCTAGCAAATCTGGTAGGAGTATTCTCTCAACTAATGTTCGCTTTTCCCAAGTGATTCTAGCTTGTGTTAAGTTACCATGAAAACTAGGTAACACAGTGAGACCCCCTGTCTCAAGTGATTAAGGGAAGGAGATAGAGAAGGACACCCAAAATCTTACTCTGTTCTTCATCCTTCTCTCTTCTCTACATGAGCACACACACACAAACACACACACACGAGTTAAATAAAAAAGATATCAGGCCTGTCTAACATCTGTGCTCTTCTGTCTCTCCTGCCCAGACAGACAGAATGTTCAAACACCCCCATGAGCTTCCAGCGTGGCTCCCCTAATCTGTTCCCGCAATACAAACAGAATCAGAGGGAGAACAAGGCTTCACAGGCCTGGCGCTCCAGGACACACCATGGGCCTGGCAGCTGGCAGGTTCCAGATCTACAGTTTAATGAGAAAATGTGTTTACAACAGAGAGTGCTTCCTGCTTCCCCCCATTACCTTATCTAGTGCGCCCAAGGAGAGCAAGAGGAAGGACATTATTATCCCTACACTGACGTGAAGAGACGGAGGCCTAGAGAGGTTGGGGAACTGCCCAGACCCACAGCACACAGACAGGAATCGCATGCAGCTCCGAGCACTGACACTGAAGGGAGAGGAACTGATCTGATGGGAACCGACTGATTTAGAGAAGCAGTACACAGGCTGAGCTGTGAAGGAGTAATTACAGAAAGGTGGAGGATGACAGCGTGAGTCTGAGGCTGGTGCCCTGAAGTTTGCTATGGACCGACAGTTTGTGTACACTCAAAATTCATATGTTAAAATCCGAGCCCCCAAAGTAATGCTGTAGGGAGGTGATTAAGTCTTGAGACGCAGACCTAATGTAAGAATTATGTCTTTATAAAAAGACACTAAAGCTGGGCTTGCTGGCACACACCTACCACACCAGCACTCAGGAGGCTGAGGCAGGAGGATTGCTTTGGGTTTGTTGCCATTCTAGACTACATAGTGAGTTCCAAGCCAGCCAGGGCTACAGGATAAGGCACTGCAGTTAAAAAATAAAAAGAAGAAGAACATTTAGTTAAAGCTTTGTTTATTCTGCCAGTCGACACACGGTCCTCCCCAGCAGCTGCTGCCATTCTTGCATGCCAGTCTCTCCTCTAGCTTGCCAACCCCCAGCCAAAGAGGGTGTCTCTGGAACACGGCTCATACAGAGCATATCCCCTGTTGTAAAGCACTCAGGAAACAACCAGTTACAAAGCCACTGGTGCTGAACAGTGTCAGAGTCCACTTTTAGGAGGCAGAGGCAGAGGGATCTCTGGGAGTTTGAGGCCAGCCCGATGTAAACAGTGAGTTCCAGCCAGGACTTCAGAGAGAAACCCTGTCTCAGAAAAATAAAACAAAGCAAAACAACAACAGCAAATGAAGATACTGGCAAGAATATGTCCTAGAGAGGTGAAGAACCCGCTTCGTTACAGACCTGGTACTGTGACACTCCATGCCAGAAGTCCCCTGAACATCTGAGCTGCCAACTTCCCTGTCAGTATCTCATGTAGGAAACTGGTCAGGACTTCAAACCAGATCTGTACTTTCCAGAGCATGGCTACTGATATTTTGCAGGTGGCAAGTGAGGATGTTCTGGCTTGCTTTTTGAACATAACCAACCTGTACGGTATCCATGCCAACGTAAAGCTATTATGCCATAAGAGCTCCACCCAGGCAGCACACCACGTATGTAGAGAATGTGGTGTAGAGTCCAGTAAGGCGGGATATGGTGGCACACGCCTGTAATCCTAGAACTTGGGAGACGGAAGAGGAAGATCAGGAGTTAAAAGTCTTCCTTAGTTACACAGTAAACTGGAGACTAGTCTGGGGCTGCATGAGAGCCTGTGTCAAACAAACAAACAAAGCAAAGGCTGGGGAGAAAGTGCTCTAAGTCAAGAAAGTGTGTTGTGAAATATTATCTTAACTGAGCAAAGATGTGTTACATTTGCTTATACTGCAGAATACTACTTTAACTGTGTAAACGTGTGTTACATTTGATTATGCTGCATTTATCTAATGACATAAGATAAGGTGTGTGCTTAATGATGTAAAGGTGTTTTACATTTGCTTATGCTGCATTTGTTTAATGACGTAAAGACATGCTGCATTGGTTTCACCTTGCTTACCTAAGACACCTGATTGGTCTAATAAAGAGATGAACGGCCAATAGTTAGGCAGTCTGCCCAGGACTGGTGGACAGAGAGAACAAGCAGGAAAAATCTAAGCTCTAAAGGAAGGAAGAGGCTGGGTGGTAGTGGTGCAAGCCTTTAATCCCAGCACTCAAGAGGCAGAGGCAGGTGGATCTCTGTGAGTTTGAGGCCAGCCTGGTCTACAGAGCAAGTTCCAGGACAGGCTCCAAAAGCTACAGAGAAACCCTGTCTTGAAAGAAAGAAAGGAGAGAGAGAGAGAGAGAGAGAGAGAGAGAGAGAGAGAGAGAGAGAAGAAAGAAAGGAAGAGAAAGAAAGAGAGAAAGAAAGGAAGAAAGAAATCAAAGGAGAAGAAGAGACATGAGAATGAGGAGAAAGACAGGGACATGCCTGGGGCAGGAAGTCAGGCAGCCACCAGCCAGCCAGACCTGACAAACAGTGAAAGCAGACATACAGAAAGAAAGCAAGATTAAAAAGCCCCAAGGCAAAAGGTAGATGAAGAGAAACAGATTAATTTAAATTAAAAGAGCTAGTCAGAAATGAGCCTAAGCTAGGCCGAGCATTCATAACTAACATTAAGTCTCTGGGTCATGATTTGGGAGCCGGTTGGTGGCCCGAAAGAAAAGGCCTGGTACAAAAGTGTTTGCTTTGCGGGCATAAGAACCTGAGTTGAATTCCGAAAACGCAGATTTTGTTTTTTGTTTGTTTGTTTGGTTGGTTTGGTTTGGTTTGTTTTGGTTTGGTTTTTGGTTTTTGAAGACAGGGTTTTTCTGTAGCTTTGGAACCTGTCCTGGAACTAGCTCTTGTAGACCAGGCCTCAAATTTACAGAGATCCGCCTGCCTCTGCCTTCTGAGTGCTGGGATTAAAGGTGTACGCCACCACACAGGCTGGCAAAACCCAGATTTTTTAAAAATAAAAAAGACATAATAGCACAAATTTGCAATCCCAGAGCTGGAAAGGTTGGCATAGGCAGATCCCACGGACTTTCCGGTCAGTTCTGCCCTGCCTACTTGGCAAATTCCAGGCCAGCGTGAAGCTTTGCTCCTCTCCCAGTGGAGACGCTGCCTGGAGAATCCCACCCAGGTACTGTAGCCCAAGGCTTGGGTTGGGACATCTCACTAGGACAGAAGCATAGACACATGCCAGAAAAACTGGGCTCAGATGGGCTGTGTGTGCATAGCATCTGCAACCTAGAACCTCAGTGAGATTATCATTACATACTCCACAGAGAGGAGGAACTAAATAGTCCAGCAGTGAAGGAGCAGAACAAACTCCGTTTTGAAAAAGAACTCCATTTTAGACAGGCCCTAACTAGGGGGTGAATGCAGCCCAGCAAAGTCATAAACATTCTCAAGAAATTGTGCCTGTCCTGGACAAAGTGACCCACCAGAGTGTCCAAACATCTGTAGGTACCGATTATCACTGTTTTGACTGTTTGGAAATACCCCTATACCCCAATACTTTTACCCGATCACGAAACACCAAGGCTGTGCCACCCTGCTTGCGGTTTTCCCCTTTAAAATCCCCTCACCCTTGGGCTGGAGAGATGGCTCAGCCATTAAAGGCAAGGCTCACAACCGAAAGTATAAAATCCCCTCACCCTGGCTGGACGGCAGTGGCACACACCTTTAATCCCAGTACTCGGGAGGCAGAAGCAGGGGGATATCTGTGAGTTCGAGGCCAGCCTGGTCTACAAGAGCTAGTTCCAGGACAGAATCCAAAGCTACAGAGAAATCCTGTCTTGAAAAAAAAATCCCCTTACCCTGAGGCCTCGAGTAACATACTGTGGCAGTGTGTTGAATTATGGTCGGAGTTAGCTAATTTGTAATCAGTAAACCCCAGTGTGTTTGCATGGGATGCTGGCTCTGTGTTGGTCTTTGGGGGTCCATGACCTGGGCACAACAATAGGAGGGCTCTGTGGGTGAGCCAGCTGTCTCAGGCTGTAAACACCCAGAAGGAGGAAGCTGCAGTTGCTAATTTTGTACACTGCCAGCACTCGCACTCTGAGCAGAGGCAAAGCTTTGTCTCTTCTGAGAGCCCCCTCCTGGAGAGTCCATGCTGAGAGTCCGAGGCACTGGGCATGGTCACGAGGCCCTGCCCATGTCAACAATACACCTTCATTCCTTACACATTCATTTAAGCCTTCCTTGGCTTCTCACACCCAACGTGCCCTATGGTCTCCATAGACACACCACATGAAAACACACACATGTACACATGCATGTATATTATACACACAGGTGCACACACACTTGAACACTTACATATATACAAACACGCACACACAATATTTTCTAGACAATGTCAGCATTTGAATATTTATTTATTTATTTATTTATGTTGGAGGCAGAATCTAACCATGTAGCCATGGCTGACCTGGAACTCCCTATACAGACCAGGCTAGTCTTGAACTCATAGAGATCTGCATGCCTTTGCCTCCCAAGTACTGGGATTAAACGCATGTTGCCATCATGCCTGTTGGATTTTTCTACTGCTCACTCTGTAGACCAGGCTGGTCTCAAACTCCCAGAGATCCACCTGTCTCTGACTCCTAAATTCTGGGATTAAAGGTATGCACTACCACATCCAACTAGCATCTGGGTTTTTAAAACATAAAGTTCTTATTGATTGCAGAGAAAGAGAGAGAGAGGGACTTTTTAGTTCTTTATGATAGTGTTCTCTTAGGGAAAAAAAAGAATAACAATCTATTCACACTTTTTTTTAGCCCCTTTCTATGTGCCAGCAAGGCCTTTGCTCAGCTCTGGAACACAAAGTGGGGGACGGTGTGATTTTTTTCTTCTGGGATGTCTTTCTAAACCTCTTCTGGCAGAGCCTGGTTCTCATGGGGCTATCAGGGTACCCCCTGTTGGCAGCTGTGCAGAGAAAAGCTTCAGTGGAAGAGGGTGCTGGCGGTGAAACTTCGAGCAGGCCAGAGACCAGAGGTGGTGCTTGCAGCAAGCCCTGACCCAGACAGCTGAGAAGATGCTGAAGAGTAGAGAACCGGGTGAGCCCCAGCGTTCTCACCCAGCTCATGAGGCACTCTGCCTCATTAACGCCCCAACTGGGCCTGGCACGCGTGTAGCACTCAATAACTGTCACCCCATAGCCCTTCATCAGCTGAAGCGTAAGATAAGGGTACCCACGACATTTAGGAGCACAGCAGAAAAGGCCAACTGAAAGCAGGGCATGGTGGCACACGGCTTTGATCCCAGCACTGAGGAGACGGATGGGTGGATTTCTGTGAGCTGGAGGTCAGCCTGGTTTACAGATTGAGTTCCAGGTCAGCCAGGGCTTCAAAGTGAGACCCTGTTTCAAAATACAACACTACCAAAACCGAAACGTGGAGGCAGTGGGCAAACTGAATGGAGAACAGGCGAATCCCTCCCAGGCACGACTGCCATCCACAGGATGCAAACACAGGCTGGCAGGTGGCAGATTTAAAAGCAACTACTTCAGGATCAAAGTGGTCACGCGGCCAGCATTGCTAGTGTTGTGTTGACCATGTGCAGCTTCCCAGGGGAGGCCTCTCAGCATATCATGGTCCATCCATGGGGGGGACGGGGAAGCTAAAGGTGAGAGGGGTTGGGTATGGGCAGGCTCCAAGACAGACTCCAGGTCATTAGCAACTTTGTGTTTTGAAAGAAAGAGAAAAAAGAAAGAAAAATGGTTTAACAAGCTTGCTGAGGCTGCAAAAATTCCAAGCCAAGGCAGGGAGCAAAGCTCCCTGAAGGATCGCCAAGCTGGAACGCTGAACTGAACCTAACAAAACAAATTTCAATGGGGACAAACTGTGCAAACCCAGTGACCGGAAACCAGAGTGAGGGGATCTGACTCAGCGTTCAAGAAGGGACAACTCTAAGATTTGTTCCCAGGGAGCTCCTAAGAAGCCTGCGAGGAACGAACAATTTGAGTGGATGTTGGAAGATTCCTGTTGGATCTCCAGCTGCCTGCAGCCAACAACCCCGACCTGTTTGCAGATGGCACTGCCCAGGAGCCCAGCCAGGCTAGACCAAAGATAGCACAGGGACAGTCACCACCCCTGCTCCCCAGAGCTCACTTCCTGAATATAAGAGCCAAGTGGATGGAAGTAGATTTTAGATAAATTCTACTCTCCAGACCTGACTAATATGGATACCAAAGGATACTTTGTAAACACTACAGAATAAAGCTAATGATCAGAACAATGCAATGAGGGGCTGGGGAGATGGTTCAGTGGGAAGAGCACTGACTGCTCTTCTGGAGGACCAGGGTTCAATTCCCAGCACCCACACGGCAGCTAACAACTGTCTGTAGTTCCAGTTCCAGGGGAATTCAACACCCTCACACAGATATACATGCAGACAAAACACCAATGCACATATAATAAGTAAATAGAAAAGAGAAAACTGTAATGAAGAGGAAATAAGAACAAAAAGTAGAGCTGGAGAGAGAACTCAGCTCTTGCAGAGGACCTGAGTTTGCATTCCAGCGCAACTGCTTATGACTCCAGCTCCAGGTGAGTCACAATGTCTGTGGACACCAACTCTGCCTGCACTCATATGTGCACAGACGTGTGCACACGCACACACGCACGCATGCAGGCGCATGCACACAAATAATTTTAAAAATCTTTAAAAAAAAAGAATAAATTGATGACACTCGCCTTTAATCCCAGCACTCAGGAGACAGAGGCAGGCAGGTCTCTGTGAGTTCGAGACTAGCTTGGTCTACAGAGTGAGTTCCAGAACGGGCTCCAAAGCTACACAGAGAAATCCTGCCTTGAGCCCCCTTCCCCAAAAAAGAATAGAAAAAGCAAGTAGGCATAAGTAGAAAACAAAGCGGAGGAAGTAGCTCCATGGGAAAGTCTGGGTGTCCTTTGAGGACAATTCCCTCCCTGCATCTTAGCTCCAGCTCCGCTGACAGGCTAAGAGCCAAGGGCCACAGTCGATCCTGACACACAGCAGCGAAGAGGAGGAAGTCAGCTCTACCCAGGCTCCTTCATGCAGCCAAATCCTGAGGAAAGCTACATGAACTCCCATCTCTTTGCCCTTCCCACTCCCTTGCCAGACTCGTGAATCTGGAGTGAGGCAAACAGCTCCACCCAAGCAAGCAGCCTTCTGCATAATGGCTTCCGTGTCAGAACTAATACGCTTTCCCATCTTGTCTTATCTGAACTCCCAGAAGCCTTAGATAATATTGCTGCTCCACGGCCTTGAAATGTCCCCTTGAGATGTGGTTTATCCATCCCTGCCTCCTTGAGTATTCCACTCACCCCTATGGTTTCACCCCTCTGTTCTTTGCGGACTTACCCTAGTTCTTTGAGGCACAGTGGGCCTCCCATTCATTACCAATTCCTAGCTGAGCTCATCCCCTCACACGCCTTTGCTTACCACTCCAGAAGCTGACGGCTCTAAAATCTATCTTTCCAGCCCATGCAGCTTGTTCTACTCTGAGATTCAAAACAGAGACTCCCACCTCACTTAACACATCCTTAGAATCTTGTAGCCCATCTACACTCAACCTGGAATTTCCTCTCTAAACTTGACCTTCCCCTCTGTTGGGTTGGTATAACCAGTGACTATTCCACCATCCATGCCAGAAACTCCAAGGCCATCCCCGCCCCCAACCTTGCCACCATCCCTTAACCCACTCCCTTTGATACTTCTAACTGTCTCCCAGCCCTGACCACTTCTTTACCCCCACCTCCAAGCTACCCTCATTGCTCATTTGGATGGCTGCTGTGACCTCCTTCCTGCACCCCCACCCAGCTGTTCTTTCCCCTTCGGTGCCTTCCACACTCCCTCTTTGAAAGCCCTTCCAAGTCCACATCAGTCCATCATGGCCTGGGCCCTCTATCCTTCTCTAGCCCACCTAAGCTCTCTCTTCGCATCCATGGGTCCGCCTTCCTCACAGGGTACACTCCTGTGACCTCTGCATCCGTGATCTCTGCATCCGCTGTCCCTTCTACTAGAAAACTCCTCCCACATTCGATATCCATTATTCCAAGTGTCCCTACCTCAGGGAAGGCTGCCCTGATCCAATTGTGCCTAACCCACCCACGACACCACCTCCTAGCATTTATCACTGGGATAACTCAACATTTTCATGTGTTCCTTATCATCATTCAGTTCAGAGTGGCTGCTTATGACTGGTACTGTATACAGCGCCTGCCCAGATGGAGGAAAGAGGCACTGAGACAGAAAGAAATAGGGATGATCTTTGCCTTTCAGTTTTTTCGTTTTTGTTTTTTTTAATGTTACAGTTTTTGGCTAGCAAGTCCATCCGCTGACTGGATGAGGCCCGCCTCTAAGATTGGAGGTGATCTCCTTAAAGCGAACAGCTTGTAAATGGTAGCCATACCTACAAGCACCTTGACAGCGATGTCTACACCAGCTTCTGACCGGAGACACGGGCACCACACCCAAACCGACACATCAGATGTAACCGTCACAGATGACATCAACTCAAAGACAAGACCATGATGAGCTTATTGTCACACGCCGGAGGGACATCCAGCAGACGTCGTCTATAAAGTTAGAAGGAATAGCGAAGAGAACTCATCCATGGTCCTCAGGCCCTCTTGTCCTTGAGGCCAGAGTGATTCAGGATTACAACATGGAGTGTCAGAGGCGGGGGCAGGCCCCCCATTGTGAGGTCCAGATGGAATCCTCAGCTCAGGCTGATCCCAGCCCTAGCTCATCTCCTCTTCCCCATCTTTACTCTCTACCACAGTCTGCCCACTGGAATCTGGTCCAGAACTAGACTTTACCCAAGGTTTGGGAGAAGATGATCACAGAACCAGTGGAAGTCCTGAGGACCAGCCTCCGTTGACCTCCAAGATTAGGCCCGTGGAGTTCTCTACAGAAAGCACGAAGAGAAAGGAGTGCCAAGAGGAGTCAGTCTCTTGAGACCGGTCAAGGAAGACTGTCTTGGGTTCTTGCTTGGAAGTTCTAGCAGAGGAGTGTGACTATTTGTATATCTTTGACAGAAAACCAGTTCTCCCCTGAGAGAAAGTTGTCTTCTACCAAGTGGACAGCTTCTGGAGGGGCACACGTGGAGCAGTGAGGGAGGAATGAGATACTCACCTAGCCAGCCACGTCAGCCACGTCAACCCTGGCAATCATGGAGTAACAGAG